AAATCTTTCCACTGAAAGGTTGCCCCCTAGTATTTGTTTGTGTTTCATCTCTATTTAGTGAAATACACTAAATTGCACAAGTAAAAAGAGGGGTAAATGGTAACGTCAGGTAGCACGAATATTTGGAACTCTTCAGTCACCCCCAAGAACTTTTTTTATTAAAAAATAAAAGCTTCTTGAGAGCTGTAATGTAAAAAAAAACCAAAACCGAATCTTGAAATAGAGGCAGAAGGAGAAGGAGAAGGGCCAATACAGAACACACGTTGGCTATATGGGATTCAGTCCTTTAGGCCTGAGTGAAATTATGGATTCTCTAAGCAACATCTCACCATGTGGTTACCACCATCTGTTAATATCTTGATATTGGAAAGTTTGGTGCCTCGGGCGAAGCCGAGGCTGGCTAATGGATCAGTTTCGGATAATATTACATTCTAATGATAAAAGTTTTCACTTTTTTCATCTATGAATAGTATGCTATCTACTAAATGACGAGTTCACTCCACAATACAGCAATGTGGTGAGCTGTAATTAGGGGCTTTTTATCTGTTGTATTTTCTTGTGACTCATGAGTTTGGCGGAAGGAGTGGGAAAAAGAAGGAACGATTTAACTAGAGGCATCTTTACGTTTTCTCTTTGCTCCCTGAGAGCTATGTTAAATGTTTATTCCAAGTGATATTAAGCGATCATTTCTGTTTACATTTAAGCTGTTAGTTAAACAAACATCACTTCAGAGGGGCATAAGCAGTTGGGTTCCCACTAGGGAATTCCTGCAGCTGCCACTGCTACCGATCTTCTGGCATTTCGCTTATGAACAAGTCCAGGTTGGTTGGCTGTTCCATGGGCACCTATGGCTAGAAACCCCCTGAGCTGACAGCCTGCACGTAGAGTGACAGCTCCTCAGTTGGACACGACGATTCTTAGTAATGGGAGTTGACTTTGACTTTCTGGTTTGTTTTCAAATGGGATGTAAAGAAACAACAAGCGAGCAAACAAAACCAGGAGCAGAGAATGGAGCAATCGCCTTTATGCGTCCACGGGGAGGGTAAATAGCCACTATCCCTTTGAACACAGGTAAGGCAGCGGCTTTCAAAGCACACGCAGCATTAAGTACATTGCGGCACCTTTTTTTAACAGTTTAGTGGCCGGAAAGGCTTCTAAACTTGTGTTCACTCTTTGAAATAATGGAGGGGGGGGATACACAGCACCGGAGCGTGTGGATAGAGTGTACGTGTTGTCCCATAACTGATGGCTGACTTTTCCGCGTCACCTAACGCATCAGACAACAGACGGGGGAGTGGGATCAGATCTTCGGGAGTTTTCTCTTTGGAGAAAGAGACACGGGGAGCTGCAGCCTAAATAGAGACGGGGGCTGTGAAATTTCAGCCACCCACATTATATGGATGGCTGGTGACAGGTCAGCGCGACGCAGCAGAAATCCACGTGTCCAGGCTGGAAGCTGCGGCTCTCCTTTAACAAGACAGATCCTGGGGGCGGGAGGGGGGGGCGAGGGGAAGGGGGAGAGATCCCTGCGTCGCCGCATAACGTAGCCAGCAGAGCAGAGGGCGAGGCACTGTACGGCAGGTCTGCCCCAGAAGGGAGGGGAGACGCAGGTTTTATACTGGGAACTGCTGGAGTCGCCGGGGCACTGGTGGCCGGGGTCAGAGCACCACGCCTGCTGCACTCGCCCTCCGCTGCCTGCAGCGTTGCATAGCCTGGTCCCCAGAACTTCCCTCCCAAAGCAACAGATCCACAAACTTCCCCGGCATTGCGCTCAAGTAGCTACCCAGCCCCGTCTGGGCTGAAGTGCCCATCAGTCCTTTCCCGCGAGAATCCACTTCTTAGTTCTGCTTTCTTTCACACCTTACCGGCTCAGGGTTTGAGAAGTTTAGCTCGCTCTCTTTTCTTAAACTCACGCCTGTGTTTTGAGTTGCGAGTGCCCGGGCACTTTGTTTAAAATTGTTTGATGCATGATGTAGAAAATAAGAACAAAGAGTGAACCAAATATAGAAGTTACACAGTCCCCAGAAATTAGCCTGGCTGACCTTGAAAATATCCCCAAATAGGACATTTAGGTCCATTAACTAGACGGGGATCTTAAGAGACACAAAATGCTAAACCCACAGACTGCGGCGTATGCATCTATCTATTTGGCAACTGTTTTAGCAATGCTATGAAGCAGAGAAGTAAGTTAATATTTTAACAAGTACATAAATCAAGAGACGGATATTTATTTTCACACATATTAAACACTGTTCTTACCTTTTTCAAAGCGGTTTAACCTGTCTGCTCTGACTTTTCCTTCCAACGGTTTGTTTTTCCCTCTTTTCCTGCGGTGTGTATGCCTAAACATATTTTTAAAGCAAACTTCAACATCATCCGTTTCAAACAGGGGGGTGGTTTTCTTATAGAAATTAACATGTCCGAGTATTAACATGTCTGTGTCTTTACTGTTAGCACACGTCGTAAATCTGCGCTAACCAGTGTAAAACCTGACCGCACTCTGATCTAATTGCATTCCAGAGATATTGGGAAGATACTGATTTTTCCCCCCTCTCCTACTGATTTACAGCAGAGTATATAGTTCAATCGGTGTTCAGTTAGCTAGGTATATATTTAAGTTGATCTGAACTTTAGGTGCACGCTTTTATTATGTCTGAGTCAGAGAAGTCCATAGTAAATAAAAGTGAGGAGCAATTAATCTTGTTTATTAAAAGCCATTTGTTTGGACACTGTGCAACCTGATGCTCTTTTTTGCTCGTTTATTTTCTGTCTCACAAGTGATAAGTTAAATGTTGGGCTCAGTTAAAGTTGCAGCATCACATTCAATAGAAAGTGAATCCTCTTTACACCTTGTATTTAAGATTGATACGAAGTTTTGAAATAACTAATTTTTTAAAGTTTGTAACCAGTGCATCAAAAAGTATTTAAGTACTGTATCCAAACAGGCATTCCTACACAGTAACTGGTCTGGGTTATTGTGTCTGGGTTGCAGGAAATTTGCCTTATATCTGTTGTGCTTTGGCTTTTCTTTTCTTTTCTTTTTTTTTTAATGCTACTATTGCTCTAGTTAGTATATGATGCTGCCAGAGATGATTAGCCACCACTTCCTAAACATTCACAGCAATGATAGCCCTGGAACAGGGACAGATTGGCTTCCAACTTGTACAGTTCCCCCTCACCCCCCCCCCCCAGTCTGGTAGAATTGTGGAAAGAAAAAAATCTAAAATCTTAGTGAATAACGTTGGGGTACCTTGGTCAGCACTCCTCACTTTGCTGAAGACTTTTCTCTATTTCCGTTTTTTTTTAAAGTTACTTTATCTTGAAATACCCCCGCCCCCAAATTACTAAATAGCTGAGGTAGGGTGTCTCCTTTCATTTACTTATCCATAACTGCGGTGCAGCTTTTGCTGTGCAGTAACATCACCCAGACGAGCTTTGCTGCTCTTTAGGTAACTGATCTGCCATGCACTGCAGGACCTGGAGTGAGTGGCAAGATTCAGAAGTAGATCAAGTGCTGCTCTTAGCTGCTGCGGCTTGCAGATGGCTCTCTCAATGGAAGCACCAGATTAGGTGATAAAGTCTCCTTCCCTGCAGCACTGGGTGGGGGGCTGGGGAAGGGATCCAGTTTCTCCTCCTCTTTCTCCCCCCATCCCTCTTTTTTTTTTCCTCCCAAGTTCTCGGTTCACTATCCCCCCTTCAATCCGAAGGAGCCTCCCGATTGGGCGCTTGGCCTGGCCCACGTCATTCAGACTGTGACGTGTAGTCTTCCTGTTTCCTTCAGCTGTGTCTTAAAGTAAATCTTGTTGTGGTGCGGAGCCCTCAGCTGAGCGAGGCTGCTCTGCTGCCTGCAGAAATAATAGACAATTACAGCCAGGGAGAGGAGTGCGGCGCAAACGAGCTCTTCCCTCCCCCCTCCTCTCTCTCTCACACACACACACTCTCTCTATCTCTCTCTCCCCTGCACACTCACTCATTCTCTTTCTCACACACACACTCACCCTCCCTTGTCCAATTATAATATTCAGCAGCAGCAGCTATCAGGCTCTCTCTGTTTTCCTCTCTCTTTCCACCGGCACAAAAAAAAAAAAAAAGACTCACTTCCATCGCTTTTGCACTGAGTAAGTATTCCTCTCCCCCTCTTCACCTCCTTCCTCTTTTTTTTTTTTTTTTAAATCTTTTCCTCCAGCACTTGCATGTGCTGTTTAAATGATACCAAATAATCCCCAGCAAAATACTGGTCACCGGTGTCAAACGTGGGCTGCTTTTTCCGGGAGGTGGGGGGCGATTGCAATGACTTTCTTATAGAATAATAACAATAATCCAATAACTAAAGCAGTAGCGATTTGTTACCCCGAAGCTTCAATGGAACCATCACTCTAGCCTGCCCAGTCCGAAAGAGTAAGTGACCTGGTTGCTGTGGGGTGATATTGTTTGTCTCTTCTCTGCTTGTCTCCATTTCTGCCACCTTTTGTTGACTCTTCTCGTTTTATTTTATTTTTGTGTGTGGTTGGAGGGCACTTTGCTGGGGATGGAAAATGCGGGGAGTATTTTACTTCTTTTTGTTGTACTGAGCTTCCCCTTCTTCCCTCTTCCCATCCCCCCTTTTTAAACTCCTAGTCTGCTCCTATGAGCCTCCTCTTTGTCTTGTTTATTATAGCTGCCTTTCTTTTTGTCTGTTCCAATTTGCTTGTCATTTGCATGTCTCTACTTCTCCTTTTTTTTTTTTAACCCTAGCCGGGCAGGGCAGGGGCTTTTTCATTATTATTACTTTTCATTCCAAAGGGTGGGACGATTTGAGAATTGTGGAAATGTACAGAAAATGTGATCGAGCGAGCGCATGAGAATAGATCATACGCAAGTTTAGGGATCAGGTTATTAGCGATCTATAGTGGGTTTCGGGATGTGGGCACTTTTCTTTGAAAGGGTTTTTTTTTTCATGTTGGTGGAGATGTGTTTTTTTTTTAATCTGATGACTGACCAAAACCACTTTGCCATGTGTGTAAATTGAGTGAAAATGCATGAGAAACGGTTCTTTCTGAATGGGTCTGTACTAGCCTAGAAGGGGGAATGGGAGAGAGGTGTGCTTTAAGTTTAGCTAAGTCTTGAAAGGGTGGGACGTTTGAAGAGTAGATCTTAAAACGTGAAGCCTTATTTGGACAGTGGGTTTAATCGCTAGGTGTGGGTTATGTGTACAGTTTGGGCACAAACTCAGTCTGGGAAGCGTTTGTCTCTAAGAAGCTGAGCATAAATGGGCTTCCTGCTCAGACGGCGTTTGCTGGAGGGGGTCTTTGTAAGTTAAGAGAAAGTTAGAGTCGGTAGAGAGAGTGCAGGCTAGAATCGGGGAGAGTCTGTCTGAGGCAGAATTGCACGGCAGGTGGGGATGTGGGGACTGGAAATCTTGGCAGGAGGAGCAGAAAGGAGTCCGTGCACGTTTCCCGGTTGCAAAGCAGCCGTCGAGCACCAGTTTGCTCGAGAACTCTGCCTATGAAGCAGTTCTGGCAGCCCCGATGGGCTCTTAAACGGAAACGTTCGCCCCCTTCTTTCTTCTCCACAGCTAATGAAAGGTACCGAGAGCCGCATCGAAATGCGCATGGGCAGTGCCAGACAGGTGTGTTGTGTCAAGAAAGACAGGTGCAAGTTTCTCTCGCTCACTGCAGATCCTCAGCACAACGACTGTTACTGCGAGCTTTATGAATTTATGATGCATTGTTAGCCAGGACTGTCTGCTTTAGTGGCTAAGACCTGTGTGTGTGTGGGGGGGGGGCTATGTTTGGTTTAAACCTTGCCCTGGGAAATCTTTAGGGCCCTGGAGAATATTGATAAAGAGAACAGAGCAGGTTGTTTAAAGTCTCTTTCAAAAGATGCACAGAACACATCTAGTGATTATTTTTGAAAGTTGGTAGTCTAACTTCATGCATCTTGTCAGCCTGACTTCTGCCTTCTGCTTTCCTTGTATTTGATATCTGTCATGTAGGCAGAGAGATCTTGGGTAATGTATTTAGGCTTTAAAAAATCCAAAGATGTCTGCCTCTAAAATGGCCAGAAATCACACCTGAGACCAGAATTAACCTGTCTGAGTTCTACATGCTATGCATATCTTCTCCATTTCAAGAAAGAATAGGTAGGGACACTCAGATTAATATCTCGATAAAGCAGGATTTATCAGTCATATAAACTGTACATGGTAGTGGGCAATGTTTGCAGGCTAGAGAATCCTTTGAATATTGAGTAAAAGTTGTGGAAAGTATACTAAGTTTGACACAGATTCCAAATGCGTACAATGGGCATTTTGTATTTCTTGCTATGAACAGTGTATCTCCAATGTATTAGGTTTATGTACAGTATGTGAATATGTGTGTGTACTTTCCCACAAACACTGTATACACATACACATTTACTACCCTATAAGAGAAGAGCTAATATTGCCTTATAGGTCAACGGAGGGTTTTAGAAATATAGCTATTTAACTATTAGATGTAAAAACTTAGAAGGTTTGTTACTTCTGTTATCCTGACAGGTCTGACAGTATGTAAAATGAATTACACTAAGGTAGATTTCTTACATGTAAATTTGCATGTGGCACATGTCCTTTAGGTCTTATGCTTGCAGTTGTTTTTTTTTTATAATCTGTCACCAAGGATATAAAGTTTACTGCCATTGACGCCCATTTCAGGGTTTATTTCATGTGCTTTTCTTCCAAAGCTTACCTCTAATAGCTAAAATATTTATAAATACTCAAAAGTAGACACTTGAGTGCTAACAGGTTACTGAGTTGAACTACAATAAAAAGTCACAATGTATATACTTTTGTTACCGGTTCCTTATTAAATTATGCTGCAAGTCATATAACATTCTATGAATGACGCTATCTGTATATAACTTACTTTTCTACAGGTCAAAAGCTAAGGAGACCTTTTAATGTACATTATGATTTTTTATGTTCAGCTAGCAAATTAAATAATCATAGACACAATCAGATTTGAAAGGGATGCCTCATTCATGTGTAGTTGCAGAATTAAAGAATATTACAAGTTATAGTCCTCAAATCAGGATTTAGTCTATCCCTAAGTATACTGTATTGACTATTTGATTCAAACATTCTGATTTAACGGCATAATGTAATTTGGAAAAGAAATCTAGGCTAGCCTGAGTTGAGTTTACAGGAGGAATCTTGTGAATCCTACAGCTTGGTACATGCATGGATTCCATGTGGACTTTAATAATTGTTTAACTGCTCATGAAGAACATAAAACTGGTTTGTAAGGAGAACAGTAGTGACATTTTTGTACCACGGGTAGGCTTGTTGTCTCTTTCTCAGTTGGACAAACTGTTTATCTAAATAATGCAACCTGCAGATTCATGACCACAGGGTGTGTTTCTCCTCAAAACAGTGAAGGCCTGAACCAGTAAGATGCTGAGTACCACCTGAGATGTGTCAAGTAACCTCAATTCCCAGGACAGTCAATGGGAGTTGAGGATGCTCAGTGTTTCACAGGAGTTGCCGTGGATGGGCTGGATTGGGCCCTACATGTCCATGTTCTTAAAGGGGGATTGTATTTCTGTTTTAAGATAAAGACTAGCTCAGGTAGCTCAAAAGTTAATTAGTTTAAATTTTTTACTTTTTGGTGTGGAGGAATCCTAATAAAGGAGCTATTAGTGCACCTAGAGTTGTTAATTATTTCTATTCTGTTTAAAATTCCTCCATAACATCATCTCAGCTAAAAAGAGAGAGAATTCTTGACAAAGAGGGTCACCCTATTTGAAAATGTCCATGAAAACCGTTCCAAAAATTAGTAGAAAAGCACTATTGCTAAGGAACAATTATTAATTTTACACAAAAGAATTTGTCACTTTGTACTTCTCAGTAGTGCAGTGGAGTGATTTTTAGCACCAAAACAGATTCATGATATAGAAGTGTAATGTGTTCTTCAGATGTATCTATCTTTTTGTCAGGGGGTGTTGGTGCGGGGGGAATACGACTGTCTGAAATCGCTTTCATCTAACGTGCCCTGGTTTATTCTACCAAAATCTTGTCCAGTATAACGCTTTCATTTTAAAGTTTTGAATGTCCCTATTATCAAGAACATGTTAAATTTCTTTAGATGCATTAGCATAATAAGCAGAGAACAAACTTGCAGACACCTGAGCAAAGATAGTAGTTGGCTGATAAAAAGACAGAATGAACAATTTTCCGCTTTGCAGGATGATGTTCCCCTGGAATTCCTCAGTGAATATACTTCATATTCAGCGCTTTGGTACTGTTTATCCAGTTGGTTATTTCGTATCCATTGAGTACCAAAGGCTTTTGTTGTCAGTACAGATTCCTTCACAACTATGCAACTTTAAATAAGCTTGTCATACTTACTGAACTTTATAGAGAAGTTTTCCTCTATAAAGGATTAAACTAGACTAGGTATCTAGTATCCAATGTATAATCTAGAATATTTATTATATCTAATATGAATGATCAAACTAGATATTGCATAAATCTATTTCTTTCTAACAACTACAGCAAAATACCTGACATCATACCCCATTCTACAGACATCTGTATTAATAGATTTTAGGACAATGAATCCTTGAGACATCTGGAAAGAAAGCTGTTTGCAAATTTATGTTATATTGGTTTGTACCTAATCATGTAAATGGATATTGATTATATACATGTCTTGTGGATGTTACGTTACTCAGAAATTGACCATTATTACAGATCCATTCTTAAACTTCTTGTAATGAAAATTTTTTAAAGGTAGGTAGAATAATATAAGCTACTCTATTGGCTGGATTCAGAGAGGTGCTGAGCACCTTATTTCACATTGAAGTCCATGGAAACTGAGAATGTTCGCTATCTTGCAGGAGGCAGACAGCACCTGACAGGATCAGGCCCCTACATGGAACTACATATGTGTTTAGGGTTGATATAATGAAAAATACACTTGGCAGAGAGGAAATGTCAAAAGTGACTTGTAATTACAAAGTAAACCTTAACGATTTTAAATTAAAGAATTGAAAAATTGCCTTTCCTTTTTAAAAAATTTACATAAAAAATGGCTTATAGTAGGTGATTCTCTAAATATATATTCCTGAATGGGTGTACACAGACACAACCATGTATGTAGGAAATATAGTGCTGATGAAATATGCAGACAAAGTAGGAATATTTTTTCTTTCCAGTATTAAAGTCTTCCTATAATATCTGTGTCATATCCAATGAACACATTCTTGCTGAATTGGATTTTGCATTCTACTGTCCGTTGTGTTCTATTTTCCTCTGGACATGAACTCATTTTGGCCCCTTTAAGCCAATGATATGAGCCGATATAATTCAATGGATAAAGTAGAAGTATTTCTCGTTATTTAGACTGAGAATAGTGCACATCTTAAGACAGAAACCCCGTAGGCTTTATTGAATACCAGGAGCAACCCAGAAATATTTACTGCATAGGGTGAGAGAAGCACCCTCAACCTCCAATAAGAATGGGAGAGAAAAAGGGTGCCACATTCCAGAGCACCTCCAATACGTTAAGGGAAAACTGATTTCCCTCGTGGTGGTAGAAGTGAGCTGGTGAGCAGTTGTTAATGCATGGTTTGTGTGAGAGGAAAATGGAAGCTCAGGAGGAAGGATGCGTAGCGATGACCCTATGACCTGTTTCAGCCAACCTATTTCCTGAGTCACTGCCTCAAGGATACAGCAGGCCCTCTTTGTGTACGTCCTTGGTTGAGATTGGGCAAGAGAGACGGAAGTTCTGTTCAGATGCCCAGAATCCGCTAGGAAGTGCATAAAACACAAAACTTGACATTAGATTTTGATATGAGTCTGGGAAGGTATTGCTGGATTTTAATCAAGCATAATTTCACTATACAGCAAAGGAAGGAAAAGCACATGGTACAGTTTTTGAAGCTAAAATGCCTGTGGGATATTTTACATACCAAGGCAAAAGCTCTTAACATTTCCTTGCTGCTATTTCATGTAGCTTGCAAACTCATATACTTTAAAGAGGAATGTAAATGTTCTCCCTGTTTCTTATTGGGCCAATATTCTCTTCTGGTGTAGATGAATGCCATCCGGTGACTTGAGTGGAGTCATCCATTCTCACCAGCAGAGAATTTGGCTTTTCATGTATGAAAATCATCTTTCAGCTCCAGTCTAACTGTCAATAAGAAGGCCTGGGATGTTAGGTCTTGTTCCTGTCCCTGTTGCAGTTAATGGGCATTTTGCCATTGACTTTGATGGAAGCATGATGGTGTCCTTCATAAATGCCCCTCCAATCAGGACCTGATTCTGCCACGCTCACTTGCATTGAATAGTATCTTGCTATGTGAGTAATCCCATTGATTCCAGTGGAATTACTTGCAGAAGAAGACACGACTCGGCATGAGTAAGGGTTCAGAATTGGGACCACAGTGATTTGCCGTGTGACCTTTTTTTGTTTTTTAATTCCATAACCTAGTTTGCTTCATGCACTTTTTATATTAACAACAATTTCTGCACAGAGTGCTGGCAGCAATTATTGGGTCTAGATTTCCAGTTCGAATTCAGGGAATTTTTATTTTTTATTTTCCCCTCCTGGATACAAGGAGTCAGTAAGATAAACAAGCATCATGTCCCTTTTGTAACAGTCTTTAACGCAGAAGCTCTGAAAATTCTTTTAGCATATCCAAAATACATGGGCAAAGACCATAGAATGAACATAGCATTTTTAAATACTTTTTTTTTCAATCTAAGCACTGCCTACTATCTTGATTTTTACAGATTATTTCATGCTGAAATTATTCCTGTTTGCATGGATAGTCATTCTTTAAAACTAGCCACAGATGCAGTCCTAGGGAGCACGTAGATGTTTTTACAGGTGAACCGAAAGAGATGGGAGCAATTCCAAAAAGTCTGCATGCTGCCTTTGGCAATATACCCTCTTATTGTGAAGATTGTGCACTGTTAAGCAAATGTGAAGTTTAATGTTAGATAAACACAGCATGAAAAATATTTTAATGTTATTTAGTATAGTGTTAAATTTTAAGAAACAGGAAGAAACATTGCACTTCATGTGCAATGTGCATTTAGCATCACTAGTTAATAAGTCACAAATTATGTCAAGAACCTTTTATAAAATGCAAGGAAGTGTTATCTTTTTATACTGTGTTCCTGGGAAACAATGAGAGTTCATATAAAGAGAAGGTATCTTCCTTTCTCATGCAGTTGATTGATGTTATATTCTTTCATCTTTCCATATTTTTTCTCTTCTGTTTTTGCATGTCACAGGAAATAAGATTTTGTGTATCCAAAATGTAACATATAAGAATGGCTTCATTGGGCATATGAGATATTATTTTTGGAGCCTGTTCTAAAACAGAGCTGTAACACTGAAAAATGCCTTGATTTTGCTTATGCAAACAATGTAATGCCCTATATCATAGCTTGTGAAATGTGAACATTTCGTGCTTTAGCACTGAGATTTACTTTGAGAATATAAGTTACCAAAAAGGGCAGAGTATTTGGAGAATTTAAAATACCACAATGGCAATTCAGTGGCATCTGCTAGGTTATATTAATGATATTCAGCATTTTTGCTTTCTCTTTTTTAAAATATATATATATATATATATATTCTAATCCTGACCATTTAAAAAAAATCTTAATGCATTTTGATTCACTGAATAAATGCTGCCTTAATGATTTAAGAGATTTTTTGCAACATAAGTATTAAATGTGTGTATGTTTTCTATGCTTCTCTCACTCACTCACTCATACATCACCCTATGTAAAATTAAGTAAAAGTTGTTATTTTGACCTTCGGATGTTTATTTATCAGTTCTTTTCTTTTAGTCTTAAAAAACACAATTACAGTTTTTACATTGCAATTGATATTTTTTTAATCCAAATTTTATACAGCTTCTTGTTTTAACAATAAATCTTAAATAAGGACTACTTTCATCTTCTTTTGTAACATATATCTCAATGCCCTAAATTTAATCAATTGGTTGTCAGAGGCTGTGTTCTTCTAATCTACTGTTTCTTCTGAAGATAAACAGTATCATTTTAGGCATTTGTGCAAGAGAATCATATTACTGGTGCTTAAGCAGTTTTTGCTTTTTTAAATCTTAATCCATCTTAAACCAGTGGAGCAGAAATATTTAAAAATGTTTCATTTCAAGCAGAGTGCATAATACATTGCAATAATTGTAATGTGCCATAAATCCCAGAGCCTATGCATTTTGCATTTTATTCAGGATTGAGGTCAGGAAATTTGGAGAAATTTAAAGAAAATGATTCATCAGTCCTTTTGTTCTGTTGGCCAGGGTCCCAGGATTCTTGAGCTGAGCCCAGCTGACAAGCTTTTGAAGATGGCACAATAACAGTCCAGTGATGCCTGACCATGACAGCACAGCCCTCTTAAGCAGGCAAACCAAGAGAAGAAGAGTTGATATTGGAGTGAAAAGGACGGTAGGGACAGCATCTGCATTTTTTGCAAAGGCAAGAGCAACATTTTTTAGTGCCATGAATCCCCAAGGTTCAGAGCAGGATGTTGAGTATTCAGTGGTGCAGCATGCAGATGGGGAAAAGTCAAATGTACTCCGCAAGCTGCTGAAGAGGGCGAACTCATATGAAGATGCCATGATGCCTTTTCCAGGAGCAACCATAATTTCCCAGCTGTTGAAAAATAACATGAACAAAAATGGTGGCACAGAGCCCAGTTTCCAAGCCAGCGGTCTCTCTAGTACAGGCTCAGAAGTACATCAGGAGGATGTATGCAGCAACTCTTCAAGAGACAGCCCCCAAGAGTGTCTTTCCCCTTTTGGCAGGCCTGCTATGAGCCAGTTTGATATGGATCGGTTATGTGATGAGCACCTGAGAGCTAAGCGCGCCCGGGTTGAGAATATAATTCGGGGTATGAGCCATTCCCCAAGTGTGGCATTAAGGGGCAATGAAAATGAAAGAGAGATGGCTCCACAGTCTGTAAGTCCCCGAGAAAGCTACAGAGAAAACAAACGCAAGCAAAAGCTGCCTCAACAGCAGCAACAGAGTTTCCAGCAGCTGGTTTCAGCTCGAAAAGAACAGAAGCGAGAGGAGCGCAGACAGCTGAAACAGCAGCTGGAGGACATGCAGAAACAGCTGCGCCAGCTGCAGGAAAAGTTCTACCAAATCTATGACAGCACTGATTCCGAAAATGATGAAGATGGTAACCTGTCTGAAGACAGCATGCGTTCAGAAATCATGGATGCTAGAGCAAGGGATTCTGTTGGCAGGTCAGATAATGAAATGTGTGAGTTAGACCCAGGGCAGTTCATTGATCGTGCAAGAGCCCTGATCAGGGAACAAGAAATAGCCGAAAATAAGCCTAAAAGAGAAGGTCCTAAGGAAAAAGAACACAGGCCAAACGCTTTCCATCCAGAAGGCAAACATTTGGCTGAGACCTTGAAACAGGAACTGAACACTGCCATGTCACAAGTTGTGGACACAGTGGTTAAAGTTTTCTCATCCAAGCCCTCCCGCCAGCTTCCTCAGGTCTTTCCACCTCTTCAAATCCCTCAAGCAAGATTTGCAGTTAATGGGGAAAACCACAACTTCCATACCACAAACCAGCGCCTGCAGTGCTTCGGTGATGTCATCATTCCAAACCCACTAGATACATTCAGCAATGTGCAGATGCCTAATTCGACAGACCAAACAGAAGCACTGCCCCTTGTAGTTCGCAAAAACTCATCTGACCAATCTGCATCAGCCCCACCGCCTGGTGGCCATCACGCTTCTCTGCATCAATCTCCACTCTCAGCTACCACGGGCTTCACCACATCTTCTTTCCGCCATCCCTTTCCGCTTCCCCTCATGGCATACCCATTTCAGAATCCCTTAGGTGCTCCATCTGCCTCCTTTCCAGGGAAAGATAGAGCCTCCCCAGAATCCTTAGACTTAACTAGGGAGACCACGAGTCTGAGGACCAAGATGTCGTCGCACCATATGAATCACCATCCTTGTTCACCAGCACACCCTCCCAGCACAGCTGAAGGTCTCTCTTTGTCTCTCATAAAGTCTGAGTGTGGTGACCTACAAGATATGTCTGAAATCTCACCTTACTCGGGAAGTGCAATATCCTTTTCTAAAAAAAATATAATCGGTTGCAATACCAGGCTCAATCTGTGTAAGTTTGCTTTCCTCTTTTGTTGGGTAACTTAAGACAAACTTCACTGCATACATAATTGTATGCAATGCTTTCATACTGGTAATAGGACATTCTAAGATGGAGGAGCCAAGGACTTGTAAGAGTAGTGATTAAATAAAGTATCAGGTAATGAACAGCGCTGCTTCACCCAGAGCGTTCTGCTCTTTCCCTATATCACCTGCCTGGCCTTTTTTTCAGGGAGAACTTTAAACAGATTCCTTTCTCTCCCCCCGTAAAACATTTGCTTTATGGGATGTCCAGTTAGGACAGAAAGTAAGAGAGGCTTCAGGGCCCAGCTGTGTGGAACTTTTCCTCCTGTCGGTGAGCTCTTCCTCACCCGGCTAGTCCCAATGCAGTAAATAGCAATGCTTGCGTGAGTAAGTGCTCACAAAGGTAAGGGCTCCACAACTGGGCCCTTTATTATGGGGGAAAATGGGACGTCTTATCCAGCAGTGTCTCCCTGCTGAAAACACTTAACCTTCCAAACGATTTTTTTCTCCCTATTAAAGCCAAAGTAAGCCCGACCCATTTTAACAGTGTCGTTCCCGACTCTCACAAAGAACAAACAGTTGGTTGGTTGTAAATCTTCAGTTCGGCTCTCAAGTGAGTAAACAAACAAAACACAAAAGATACAGGTACTGATGTATTCAAGCTGCATCAACTTCTTTTCCCCACCCAGAGGTCTGTTCCTCAGCCCTTCTGCAGCTGCCTGCTATGCATGATTAACCTCTGTTCAGCCGTACACAGAAATCTTTTGTCCTAACATACACAAAGCAAATTATTTTGGAAAGCTAGAGAGCACAGTTAGATATAAAACTTCAGCTGTATTACATTTACAGGACATTCCCATCCCCCCCCGCTTTTTTTTTTTTTTGGTTTAAATAACTTTTTAGCTCCGGATCAGGCTTTTGAAAAATACAGCTCTGCTTATATTTAGGCATATCCAGCTATTTCCATATTAATTTTCTGTAAACTAGTCCTTTGGGGAATTTTTTTGGAGCAATTACACTCCTTCCCCTCTCTTCCTCCTCCCCGTTCCCCTAATGTGTGTTCTGGTATGGTCAGAAGATTTTATTTATTTTTTTAAATGACTAAATGTGGATAAAATGTGATATTTGCCCAATGCTAAATTGAGGACTTTCAATGAAGGATACAGTTATATTTTATACCTATGATAAGACCTCTCCAGAAGGCAATCACACACGTATAGAGTCTTAGCTATAGTTAATTTCCTTTCCAAGTTGATGAAGGCAATCATAACTGAATGACCATATCCATCCTCGAGTAATAATAGTGCTATTGATGAAGTTGTCCTTTTTCCAATAATAGCAGTGGAGGCAGATGCCAGGTATATGCTTGTATTATCAATAAGTATCTTTTTGTGGTTAATAATTTTGACGGATTAGATTAATTGTAAACACTTTTTTTTTTAAGGGCAAGAGTGCCTCCGCAAATTAATTGCAGGGATCCTGCAAACTCTTATTCATGTGAGTAGTCCTCCCTTATATGAATTGTCCAATTTGACTTAAAAGGACTACTGACATGAGTCAGGGTGTGTTGGTTCAGGCCCAAAGAACCCTTTACCTGTAGGTCACTGGTTCAAAACCAGCCTGGATTGGTGTTATCAAAAGTTTTTGCTATCTAATGACTATTTGCTGGCCTACGTGAAATGTGTTGCTGATCTCAGTCCAGATCCTACAAGGCAAGTGTTCACATTTTGAAAGCACCACAAATGGAAACTATGTTGGCAGTCATAGGGTGTGTCTACACTGGAATACAAGACCTGCGACACAGCCGCAGCTGGCCCAGGCTGGGCTGCGGGTGTAGACATCTGGGCTTGGGCTGGAGCCTGGGCTCTGGGACTCTCCCCACCCCATGGGCCCCCAGAGCTTGAGCTTAAGCCTGAATGTCTGCATTGCAATTTTACAGCCCTGCAGACGGAGCCACATGAGCCCGAGTCAGCTGACCACGGGTGTTTAAATGCTGCGTAGACAAACCTTTAAAGACCAAATCATGAATGGGAATGGAGACTGAAGTAGCCTCTCATCCCACGGAGGTGATCTCTTCAAGTTGGGGTTCATACCCATTGTTGGGGGTGTGAGGGAAACGTGCACTGTCATTGTCCATTTAGTATCCTCTGTGTGAATTAAAAATGGATTTCAGTGTAAGGCTAGCATCTTCCATAAACACTAAAAATTACTAATTCGGATTAAAAAATCCTTCCTTCCTTCAAATTCTACCTTCTTATGCACTCAGAGCAGCTTATATTGAAGTCAACAGGAGCCCCAGTTGTGTAGCTGAGGCCAAAATTCGGTAAATGCCGACTAACAATGTGGTGGCATATTACTTTGTTTTCAGTAAAAGTAGCTTTCTTTTCCTCCTGGAAAGAAGAATGAAAAATTTTTCACTTCTTCAAAGGGGGACTGAAAAGGAAAAACCATTCTGTGTTTATAAGCTGTTAGTCTTTCCTTTGGCTATAACTCTGTATGACCCACTCTGTTTATTATTCTAGTGCAAGTCAGTATTTTTGGAACTTGTGCTGTTTCTGTTGTCCTGTTTGGTTTCTGTCTTCCCCTCTTTCTGCTACAGTGTTCACCCCCTCCCCCATATTATATTCCTCTCTCTCACTGGCAGCCATTATCTCAGCATGTTACTTCTGATGGAGAAGGTGTGCAGGCAGCCTCCTCTAGAGCCAGTGCCATTCTGAAGGTTAGTCAGTGGGGAAACTGAGTATTAATGTGGGTGCCGCTTTCCCTTCTCCCAACGCACCTTATTCCCTTGACACTCTGACTCTCCCAGTTAGTCACTATTGCAGCCTGGACACAAATATATTTGAAAAGCTTCTAGATTCTCAAATACCCGTTAGACAGAAGTGTGCACACCGGTATACAACTCTATTGTGGTGATATTTTTCTAGCAACTGCCCATTTGTCCATGCAGCCTATAGTTTATTCTAGGCGAAGGCATATGGGAGAGAGTATGGCGGTTTGTTTGTATTACACTTTGTTTTGGCCCCTTTATTTCACATGGTTCAATGTGCATATATAAAGAATATGTTTCTTAAGAGAGGCAGTTCTTCCTTCACAACAGAAAGCAACATCTGTTTCTCTGGACAATACAGCCAGGATAAGAACACAAGATCAGCAGATACAGCCAAGTTCAGGTTTTAGTAGTAGGCTGAAACCCTGAACCAGTCCCTCTTATTGTTTTTTTTTTTTAAACCTACATTTGTAAAATGCACCTGATCGTTACCAGCCTTGTTGAATTGTGCAAGGAAATGGTTAATGTTTGCGTATTCTGCTAAACAAGATAAGATGCACCTGCACGGTGAGTTCATATCTTGGTCATGAATGTATTCTGTATCTTTGCAAACTAATCTGTTTAATCAAATATTAAGTTTTATTCAAATGCTAAAAGAAACAGACAGCCAATTGTTTTTCTGCATGATCATCCTTGTCATGCACCCTCTTTGCATCTCAAGAAAAATAGCCTTGTTCAGCCCCAAAACATTTGCATATGTCAAACTGAAGCACAACAGTAGGTTTTTTTGTGCCGTTAAGACATCTGCACAGGTGAAGATGTTCAGCATTTTCTCCACCGAAGGAAGATTTTAATAATGTTAGTGAAACTTTTTTAAAATCCTTAATTTTTAAATAGAATTCCAATCCAACCGGGGCAAGTTTCTCAGTCCAATATGTGAAAGCTACAATTAGTGAATTACCACATTTTGAAATGAGGAGTTACTATATCTGACTAGAATTAAACTAATTAAACTTAAAAAAAATGAGCAATTGTATAGCAAGTTGGATGACTCTGTGCTGTTGATAAAACCTGGGAAATGCCAGTATACTTTCAGTCCAGCTTCTTTTTTCAAGGTTCTTTAAGACGTGCAGAAATATTCCTAGCAATTTAGAGGTATGCTGAAAAAAGCAACCATTGTGTAATTTAAGCAGCAACTTGGCCTTACAACTACAGATATTTTACCTGAAGTGGCAGATTCCTGCTCCTTTCTCCTCATCCAATACCAATATATGGTATAAAAGCCTAATAGAACATTTTCAGGAATTTGAAGCGAAAGTGAGAGGAACAGAAGATTATCGTCACATAAAAATATTTTAGTAGAAGAGGGTAGTTACTCAAGTGGATTAAGCCCATTTGCTTTTTGGCACAAATCAGGTGCAAGAGTCTACATGTAGTGTAAGTTAAAACACACAGCGAGTGTACATACGTTTCCTTCCCTCACCCCCACTTCCTATTTCTTACATTTGCCTTTTGGCTGCTGTTGTTTTAGGTAAGGCTATCTTGTACATTGTAAATACACAACACTCAGACTCAGGTTGTTTGAACACTGCTTTAGGCTCAGCTGCAGTGCACTGTTTCTCTGATCTTTTATGTTCCTGAGCAGATGTCTTTCATTAATTTATGGATTTATCATTTCTTTCTTTCTTTCTTTCTTTTTTTTTACACCTGGCAGCTGGCTCAAGTTTCAGCAGTTATTGTCTATTTTGCATTACACATAGAATTGAATGTCATCTGTCTTCACAAAGCTATGGCTAAGAGAATTGAGGCAAGCCACATGAGCTGCTGGGACAGACCTTGTTTGCGTTCCATTCGGCACCCTCCCCCCCTTTCCTTTTACCTCCTTAATATTTATTTGTGCTCATTTTCTTTCCTGGCCTTGAATGGGGCTTAGCTCGTGTTCAGTACAGCTGTATGTTTACTGAATCTATTCCATCATGAGTCATTGTGCGTGTGTAAGTATCCTGGAAACAGCTAGTGCTTTCTTGGAAGAACAGTTGCTTTTCAGCACAAGCACTTAAAAGGGAAATTAACCAATTGGTCAGTTCAGTTTTACACTGAAATAGCAATGGGTTATCTAAGAGTTGGCTCTTAAGTGCTTCATTAACTATTTTTAATAGTTTATTAGAGATCTATCTTGTATCACAATATAACCTTAATCTTAGGCACAAGACATAAAGATTTACAGTGTGCTAGATTTCACTTTAAGAATCCCAAGTGCTTAACAGGAAAGCATAATTCTAATTTAAAAAGTGGACTTCTGGGGATTTGAGTTTTAGAACATCTTTCAATATGTGTTTTATTCAATATCAATAGCCTCTAGCATTATTACAGAAAAATAAGGAAAAATCATAAATACAAAGTGAATCAAAATACTTAAACAACTGTCTAATATGCTTAAATCCAGTGAATACTGAAGCTTGGGGAGAGTTTAAGTTCATATCTTAGCTTCCATCGAAATGGACCAAATGCCAAACATGATATCAAGATATTATCTGCTTCAGGGGAATTATAAATTAAGGAGACTTAGGATTTTTCTTTTACTTATTGAAGCGTTGGTTGGTTGGTTGGTCCCCGTCCTCCTGTGGAATCATATAACTAAATGGATTTCTGGTGTAGAAGTTCTGACTTGTCTAAAACTCTTATCACTAAGCAATAGGTGACAGCTTGCTACCATTATTTCACTTATGCGTTTTGACAGATGGCACTGCAGAGTGTAATGCTCTTTTAGACTTCTCTATCAGTCTAATGGAGGTAACTGGAGGTTCTTTCAACTCTTCTCTTGGCACAAGAAGTATGTCAGTCATAAATTATCTTCTTTGTAATCATTAAGCATCTAAACCAAAACACAAGTTCAGTTGAGCTGTTTTCAGTGCACTTTTTGTAAATGAAGAGGTTTTTAAACTATTTTCAGTGGCTATTTTAAAAAAAATGTGATATTTTCAGTCTAAAACTGAGCCTTCTCTTTCTACAACTGCATCTGCATGTATGAATAATACATGAATAAATAACCATGTTTTGACTCAATTCAGTAGATGGAGAAAAGATATTCTGTTAACAGAACAATCCTAAATAGTCTGTTGCCTGTCGGCATACATTTCTTTGAACTTCCCAGGTTGCGAGCTGGAGCTATTCATTTTGTTCTCCTGTGTTACCGGCTCTGTAAGGTGAAGGCACCTCCGCTGCAGAATAGCTGTGAACTTGTTTGACCTTTCTCCACCATAAGGTGTGAAATAGTGAAATTTTCGTTGAATGTCTTTAGGAAAAACAGTCCTCAGAGAAGCTTCTGGGAAGGACCCTCAATTGACCTTGTGGGGACCACATTGATTTTCTCCACGTGCATCTTCATTTCTGATAAATTATAAAGCCATTAATTTGCTGAGGAAATGGCAGGGCCAGCCTGCGGCACAGATGTGACCAAAGCCATCCTAGCACACAGCACACAAAAGAGTGCCAAGAAGCTGGGGGAAAATCAGAAAGCCTAGATTGTTATGGTTAGATTCACATTCCCTTGGGAACTGTTTTAGTTGCTTCTGTTTACAGATCTAAAAGGTAATGATGTTTCCAGGATAAATAGGCCTCCTTATAGGGTAAGTGGCCATTTATTGATCTGCTAACCCACACTTATTGATTAGTTAGCCCCAAATACAGTTTCATTCTCCGAGGAGTTAACTGTGTAAATCAGAACCGGACAATATTTTTTTAACTACAGAAGGTTGTGGGTTTTTTTAAAGAAATTTAGCTTTCATTAGAAAGCCAGTAATTGAGGCAAAGGAATAATAGGATTAGAGAGAGTAACTCAAGATACTGAATTATATTGGCATTAAAGAAAAAAGGTAAAATATGTTATTGCATGAAACATTGCTCAGAATCATAAAGCACCTCTGATTGTTTCATGTGCATTAGCATTATATGATATAAACTGCTCAGTGCTGAGAGAAAAATAAACTGAATTGGAATTGCAAACGAAAGAAAAAATCTTGTGATAAGTTTTTTTGCAGCACATGCTTCATGCATTTGTTTCCTTAGCAACAAGTGAACATACATATGGTACACAAACCTTAAACCTGAAAAATTCCTGCCACCAACACCAAGAATGAACTGAGAGACAATATATGTTATGTATCCTCACATATCTTATGTAGTTGTTTTGCAGATAATTACAGTTCTAAAGAGCTGCAAATTGAATGTTAACAATTTGTCACTCGGTCCTTACAGAACATTTCTCGAAGGAGCACTTTACTAGCCGTGTATATTCAGAACCAGCTTTTATTCTCAAGCAAAGCATTTTCCTTGACTAATTCAATCCTACATGCAGGAAGGTCTGTCACCCAATCACTTGAAAAAGGCCAAGCTCATGTTCTTTTACACCCGGTACCCAAGTTCCAATATGCTGAAAACCTACTTCTCAGATGTAAAGGTAGGAAAAAAACTTTTTCCCCCCCTCCTTATTGCATGTTTGCATTTTTGTGGTGAAAATGTATCACTTTAACACATTAAAGGTAAATGACTATTCATTCTAATTTCACTACTAGAGATTACAGTTGATTGTTATTCACTTGACTTTTTCAACTAAGGTGTGCTTGGGGTCCATGTCTGAAGGGAAAGGGCGTGGGGTTTTTTTTTAAATCAAGAGAGAGTCTGAAGTTTCAACGCAAAATAAGAATGTTTAATACAGTTGGATGACACCGTTTTACATGTGTGTATCCTCTGAAAAAGAAATTTCTGCTGGTGGCATAAATGTACTTCCAAGAACATTTTTGGAGCAGTTCTCAAGTGCTCCCTAATCGTTTCATTTTGGTCGGTTTCCTCATATTTGTGCTTACATCAGCACACTGTAGACTCCCTTTCTTTCTGTCAAAAAGAAACAGTACATTGAAATTCTCCATGCAGCAACTGCTTAAAAACAAAAGTGATGATTGTCTCTTATTTACAACTTAATTTGTTGTTGATGCAGAGTACACTGAGCATAAGGAGGATGAATAAAGTGACAGATTCAGGCCACATTATTCAAATGAGGATATGAAAGCTGTCGACGTACAGCTGCATCCTCCCTCATTCTACAGAATATTAGGACCTCCTGATTTTTTTCCCTAAAAGTAATTGTTCCTTCACATCAACTTGATTTTGTGTTAATCATCTAAGTTTTTTTTTTAATATAGATTGGGTTTTAATGATTATAATGGCACACATGGTGTTATTATCTAAGTAACTTTATAAACATTACATTAGCTTAAATTAGTTTGTTACATTCCCCCCCTTAACAATTTACACAAGTCCTTATTTTAACTATCTGCATGTTTATGGGGGGTTTTTTTTCGATCTTATTGGAAAATTGGCTCCCAAGTTTGTGACTTGGCCCAGTTTTAAGAATGAATGAGTAGGGCAATTCTCTTCACTTTATTTTGACTTTATTGAAGGGTTCTTTCCCCCTCCCCATTCCTGTTAGCTTTTATCTAATGTCACATCAAGTTGAACATCTTGGTGGGTTCCTCTGCCTCCCCCCTACCCCTTCTGTGCTCTCAGAGTTGAAAACACGTTT